GAAAGATTTTATGTAAATAAAATCTTTTTATTTTTTAAAAATCTTCTTAATTTTGCTGACCCATTGTTATTTATTAAAACCTAACATGTTCATAGTACTTGGGGCATTCTAAAACTATGGTGATGCTTTTATTTAAAGGACTTAAAATTAGATAATATTCACCTTGCACATTTTATGTTACGTATCTATTACATTAAATATGTATATTATTACCACAAATCCTTCATTATACAGTAAAATACACATAGATGATAAGTTTATGTTATTTATAAATTAAGCAAAGAACCCATATTAACAGATATTTATACTGGGTGGAGAGTATTGTATTTCTGTACAACATAAACTCCTCTTTCCTAGAGTAATAGGTGGAGAAGTTTTCTTTAATCGTATGAATTGTCAGATGACTTCCCCTTTCTATTTTGCTTGCTTATTTGCCTTGTCTGATTTACTACAGTTTTGTTTTCACTTTTCTAGATTATCAGTACCACTTAATATACTAACTTGTTTCTTCACTGAGAAAAGTAAAGTGTGGCCCCATATTCAGTTCAACAAATAATTCTGTACCTACTATGTGGAAAGCAGTATACAGGGATTCTCTTTATGACATTATGTTTGTGCATAATGTTACTTTGGTTCCAACTGATGTTAAAAATAATGGAAATACTCATCACCACTTTTCTCTTAATATTTCATAGCACTCATGCCTGAATTTCTGTTGTTCTTAGCAGAGTATTAACATATGTAAAACATTCTGCTCCTTAATAAAAGTAATTTTCATCAGCTCTGAAGAACAGAATTCAAAGTGTGTTTTTCCTAGGTGATTCTTACATCATGACAATGCACTAGTTTGATGTCTGTGAAACTAGTTTGTTAAAAATAGTCTGTATTTGTAGTTCATCCTTAAGTCTTTTTTAAGTAAGATTTTATTTTTATACTATGCAAATGAGTTTGTTTTAGATGTGAATAAGTGAGATGAATATAAGCATTTATTAATGTCATAATGTAAACAGAAACATCTCTGGAAAGAAAACATATGTCAAAACATGGCCTTAGCTTGTGGCTTTAATCAATACATAACACTTTTATCATCTGATAAAAATTGAAGACCTCAAAGTTAATGTTTCTCCTCTTTCACTACCTCCCTAAGTTTTTCCCCTGTGCAGACCTAACCTGCTGTTGATAGCTACAGTCAAACATTATGATGAGATTCTTTATTTATAAAATGCTTAAATGATCTTGTAACAACTGTAGTTGAGACTGTAGTGTTCTTTTCTGAAACCATATTCATCTAATTTATTTAATTATTCTATTATGATTGAACATTACTTAAGAAATAGATGTTTACATGGGACTTTCATGAGTACAGTTGATGTGATGCTACATGCAGTTTAGAACTAAAAGTGATATGTGAATGTCATTCAAAGGTTTTTTACTATAATTATAATATTACCCCATAGTTTATTGTGTTTTGTTTTCTTATGAGATTCTAATGATTAGAATCCCTTCATTTGAAAATATTTTCAGTAGCTAATTGTTATAAAGTGTGGAATTCTAGGTCTCCAGAATAGGATAGACACTTTTTTAGCAATACCTAAACATTAATGAAATGTTAAGTATTCTTGACTTAACATTATTGCAACAAAGTGTGTAGGCTGTGGAATCAGGCACAGGCACACCTGTGTTTTGAGTCCAGCTCTATAACTCAATAGCTACATAACCCCTGATAGGTTAGTTAACTACTCTTATTTTTTGTCTACTAAGGAAATATAGTAGTACTTGCTTATTAATAGTTGCTGAAGAAATTCAGTAAAATGATGATGATGATGATGATGATGACAGCTGCAGCAGCAGATCCACTTCCGTATCCTTACCATGTGCCAGACACTCATCTAAAGCAAATGTTTTGTAATCATTAGATTCTTACAGTCATCTTGTGCATTTGAGGCTGTTATATCTGACTTTAAATACCAGCAAATAGCACCAACAAGAACAACTTCCAAGAAGTCAATATGTTCCTTACTACATCTGGTGACAATAAGAATGCACTGAAAATATTACCATTTTCTTTTGAAATTTAAATTTATGTTGTGATTTGAGGGTTATGTTTAAAGGTTTAAAAACTGTTTGGCTTACTTAATTTTTTATCCTTGCTTTCTTGATATTTTGTTATTTTAATTAAAACTCAATCAGGATAATCATCTATTGTTAAGAATTATACCACTTTCAGAGTGAATAATGGATACCAAAATATACTTGGGTTAGGGGAGGAAGAAGTTTTAATGATCTGTAGCACAGGTAGGGTTAATATAGCTTACAACAGTTAAATGCACATTTCAAAATAACTAGGAGAGAAGAGTTTGGAAGTTCCTAATGCATAGAAGTGATAATATTTGAGGATATGAAACTTCTGTTTACCCTGATTTGATCATTATACATCATATACATGTACTCAATTATAACATTTTACCCTATATCAAAGTACAAAATATTATGTCAATTAAAAAACAACCATATACAACTCTAGACAAAATACTTTATTATTATTATTCAAAGATTAAGCAGTACTGAAATATGGAAGTAGATGTGCAGAAAATTGAGTTACTGACACTCTCATTGGCTACTAGAATTTATCCAGGGCTTTCTTTACCCTCTGTGCTTTTGGTGGTGGTGCTTTTAAAAAGATTCATCAGGAAACTCTTACCGCCAGCCAGTTATGGACCAACCTTTGAGAACTGGTCCCCTTATACACATACACAATTCACTCTGTTCATAATTTGGATGAAGTACAAGAAATTCCATCTTCCCGCCTTGATACATATTTTGCCTTTGCTATATTAAAGAACAATTTTTCTTTATTATATTGATGAAACAAATCTTTCCAGGTAGTATTTTTGGAAATATTTTAAAAGGCATTTTGAAGGGCAGTTTAGCATCATCATCATCACCATCACCACCACCATAAAATAAGTTTTACTGTTAAAGCAATAATTCCACTCCTACTGATCTATTAAAAGTCTTTAAGGACTGAACAAAAATAGATTTGTAACAAAAATTATTGTGACCTTGTTGCTAGTGTTACCACTGGAAACAAAACTAAATTTTGTCAATGGACACTTGATTAAATTTTATCTGTACAATGGAATGCTATATAGCCATCTAAAGGAAAAATAAGAAAACTTCATAGGAATATTGCCAAGATATGTTATAAAGTGGCAAAAAACTAAGTGGCAAAACAGTGTTATTTGGTGCTATATATACATTTTATATGGGCAATGTAGGGCTTATATTAAATATAAAATTAATGAGTATGAAGTGAGGTTTGTATTATAGTTAAATGAAATGAGATATGTGATAATGATTAGCATCATGCTTCCCTAATGATAGAAATAAATATATTTTGTCAAGTTGAAGAAGGAAAAATAGAGGTATTTTTACTTATTTTACATGTTTTATATTGTCTAGATTTTTTCCTACAAAAAAAATGTTTTATAATTAGAAAACCATTTGCTTTTTGGTAAAACAGCTGGAAAAATGTATTCATGCCAAAGTATCAATTAACACCACAAAATGATATTTTTCTTTTGATTCAAGATACTGAAAAATTTCTAATAATGAACACAATGGTTAACTCAGGTAGTCTTTTGAACAAAGGGGATCTTCCTAATGTCCATAAAAGCGGTTTTGGAGATTTGGTTTATTTGTTCTCACCTTTACATATTCACCCATACTTTTAATTGTATCTCTTCATATTCTCAGTGTGTGTGTGTGTGTGTGTGTGTGTGTGTGTGTGTACGCGCACTTATTTAGGGAAATATACATATGTATTATTTAAGCATTTAGGTGGTTTTCTTTCAAGAATGGCTGGAAACTTTAAGGAGGCAAGGCAAAGAATAACTAATTAATTATTGCTTAATTATGTAGACAAAGTGAAACTTTCCTTTCCCTTTTTTTTCCTTCACCCCAATCTTAGCAGATAGTTTAAAAAAGATATTCCAGTGACAATACCACATTAAGTACTAAATATTTATCTCTTTAGACTGATTATTAGAAGGACACCAGAGGAAAACTTTGCTTATACTAGATTATTTGTTTTAGCAAAATTTATTCTCAACTATTTCTTATGGATTCTATGAAGTATAGCAGAATTTCAGAGTAATTATATATATTTATAATGCAGGTGTTAGATTTCGTTTATGTTTCTTAAAATTGTGGAAATGGTGCCCATTTGAAAACTTGTGAATGTCATTTTTTTATAATTACAGACTTAGAAACATTGGTTAAATTTGTTGATTGCATGGAAATTTGACTAAATTGATTCTTTCTAAAATCAGTATGAGATTAATATGAAATACATGGGCTAATTGACAACTAGACAATACTTTTCTTGTGGTAAATTTGAAGCTGTGCTGCAATTTTATTTAGGAAGATGGCTTTTTTTCTTTAGTTGTAATGCTTTAATGATTTGAATCCCTAATTGTACATAAGCAGTATTGTCTGCAATAAGCTCATTATGGTTTGAGAGAATATTTGTTTAATTTAGTTTAAAAGTATAAGATATGGAATCAAGACTTATGGGCTTCAAATTCTGGCTTTGTGACTTCCTAGCTTTCTGATCTTGAACAAGTTATCCTCTTTTTTCTTGGTTTTGGCATCCATAAAATAGATATAAGTAGTAGGTGGTAGAACTCCGTTTCATATGGTTGTTACAAAGTTGTAAGAATTAAATGAATTAAGATGTATAAAGAATCTGTGTGTATAGTTGGTGTTTAGTAAGTATAGCTGCTGCTATTTATCATTTTGGTTATCTAGTATAGAGTAAATGCTGTAGGTGTGTGTGTGTGTTGTAAAATTAGTTGTTTGTGCATTGTGGTCTAAAAGAAAGTATTATTGAGTTACAGACAGCCTAAAATATCATTTATAATTTCTACTTTTCTGAGGTGTGAAAATGATTTTTATAACACTAGTAAGTTTTGATTATTCATTTCTTGTTTGTATTACAGTTACAAATTATAATACTGTGGTAGAAACAAATTCAGATTCAGATGATGAGGACAAACTCCATATTGTGGAAGAAGAAAGTGTTACAGATGCAGCCGATTGTGAAGGAGGTGTGCCAGAAGATGACCTGCCAACAGACCAGACAGTATTACCAGGGAGCAGTGAAAGAGAAGGGAGTGCTAAGAGCTGCTGGGAAGATGATGGTGAGCCAAACTTTCTACAGTATTCTATTAGCCTGTATTCTACTTTATTTTTAAAAGTATATATTAACCAAAAGATAAATTGGATAAAAAGGTTCAGATGAACAGAAAACTTTCTTGTATATCTAACAATATTGAGTGTTTTGCTTGTTTAAAACAGAATAATAAAGTTGTTTTGACCATATTTACAATGACACAATATATTGAATTTAGTAAATTTTTCTAACTATAATCAAGCTTGTTGATATAATTGAACCTACCTTTAATTTCACATTGTGACCTCCCCCCATGAAGAATATACATAGAAACATTAGTTTATTTGGTATAGTAAAAATTATATAAAATATACCAAAAAATCCCAAACAGATAAATCATGGAAGTATTTTTAGCATTTGTAAGCCTTTCTACATACACAAATATTAGAATCCTATAAGCAAGTTGGGTCTTTTTTTTCTTGGTTTAATTTTTTCACTAAAGGAAAATTTTTACTTAGGTAAAGCATGGTTTAGTGAAAGGAGAAATGAAAGTAAGGAGACCCTCTGCTTATTGCCTTTTTAAACATTGAATGTTTAATCTTCTACTTCATCTATCAAAAGAAGAAATTGGACTTTAGTCTTTTATTCTAGCTCTAATAGTCCTCATTTCTACTTTTCCTGGTAAACTAGTTCAGTTATTTAGCCTGATTGCCAAGATTTAAGCATTAGTGTTATTTTTAAAAGGAAGTAGAAATGGTAGGTATTGTGAATTAAGATATTGAGAATCAGAAAAAAGGGCATCATTAAAGTAAATTATAAGAGGTCAAATCTACGGTCAGTAAAAGAAGAAGCTGCCTAGTAAGAGTCAAGTTTAAGGAGGTCATCGAGATAGGATATCAAAAGTAAGCTAAAAAAAATCTAGGGAAAGAGGTCAATATGCAGGTCAGAGAATCTGGATAATGAAATAAAGAAGCTTAGAAAAAAGTCCAAATAGGAGGCACAGGGTAGCAGAAATTAAGATTTCTACAGCATGGCAAATCTTACAGCATTAAGGAGAAACATCTGAATCAGAAAGGGTAGAAGTCCTAGAGAAAATACTAACGCATCTTAAAACCAGGAGCTGGCCTGCAATGGAGATGGACACTTTTAAATTCTGTTCCCTAAAAATACACTTGCCTAAGAAAAATGCTCAACTTAAATTTTGAAAACATTTTATAATAATTTTAATTTGGGGGTTACTAGGAGCACTTGGCCACTGATCCACCTATTTTGTATTTTATTTATTTAGATACAGGGTCTCACTGAGTTGCTTAGCCCCTTGCTTTTGCTGAGGCTGGCTTTGAAGTCTTCATCCTCCTGCCTCAGCCTCCCAAGTCACTGGCATTATAGGAGTGTGCCACCTCACCAAGCCTGAGGAATTTTTGAGTAAAACAGTGCTGGTCTTGATTTCTAAAGACCTAAAAGAGGTTAATTAGACAAAAGGAGAAAGAACACAAAGGTGCTTCAAGCAGAAGAAGCAACAAGCATGAAGTCACAGGGCTTCAGCAAGGAGTATTCACGGAAAATGAAATCAGAAAAGTAAACAAGGGAAGGAATATAAAGTGCTTGTGTACTAAATCAAGGAATTTGAACTTTATCATGAAAACTATAAGAAGAACAACACTGATATGAAATTTAGAAGTAAGTCTAGAGCAATATGGGATTAAAAAAAACAACCTTCAGGGGGTAGTGAGCCTAAGGCCAGAGCGCACCTTCAATAAAGATGCATTAGTATTTCAGGAAGAGGTAGTAGTTCCTGAACCAAATCCAGGACCTCTGAAATGGAAATAGAAGGGAGGTATTTTAAAAAATGTAGGAGGTAGAATTGGTTGATTCTATATAGAAAGTATTATAGGGAAAAGATTGATTTAAGTCCTAGGTTTCTGGAAAGCAGAAACCAGAGAAATCAACTTGCTTACTTACTGTGATGGCCAGATAATGGTAGAGCAATTAGTTAAACTTTAATATTAAATTCAAAACATTTTCAGCAGGTGTTCCTTATATTTCCTATCTGTGGGTCCAAATCTGTGTACTTGATCCAAAGTCTTAATATGGAAGCTAGAAGAAAATTATCTGTCTGGAAAGAAGGAAATACAGAGAATGACATAGATTAAGGGATAAAGAAAGATGAACAAAAATCAGTGAAGAGGTTCTGTTTCTTAAAATATGTTGGGATAGATTTTTTGGAGTAACTCTCCCACTGAAAACAACTAATGATGCTTTATTTTAAAGAATAAAAAATAAATAAATCCTAATGGTTTAAAGAGCTAAGTAGCTAATAGGACATTAATATATAAAAAACTTAAGGGAAGATAGGAACCTACAGATGTAAGTAGAGCAGATCATAGAAGACTTTTTTTTGTTTTTATCCTTGAGCAGATTGCTAAACCAGGATTATATAAGATATAGTTTTTTAAGTCTCTCTGAGGGGGGTAAAAAAACTGAGACCACTAATACCAGCTCTTCCCCTAGTATGCATGTTAGTTAATTTCCCATTTTTGTGACAAAATATCTGAGGCAAATCAATTTAAAGAATAAAAAAGATTTATTTCAGCTTACAGTTTCTAAGATTTACTTTCTGGTTCCTTGGCTCCTTTGTTTCTGGGCCTGTGGCAAGGCAAAACATAACAGTGTGTGATGGAGCCAAGGTACTCATCTCCTGGCAGTCAGAAAGCAGAGAGGGGAGGGGCCAGGATACCCTCTTCAAGGACATATCCCCAGTGATCTGCTTCCTCCAACTAGGCCCCACCTCCTAAAGCTTTCACTACCTCTTAATATTGCTACCAGTTGGCCACATGAACTTTTGGGGGACATTTCAGATCTAAACTAAAGCAGGATGGATTATATCTTGAATATAAGAATGAACTAAAAGCAAACCATCTGCCATCCCTTCCATCTTCAAAAGTCAGCCAAATTGCCTTAGCTGGGTATTGGGAAGTTAAAGATTGTCTCTGAGAAGTAGGAACCACAAGTTGTCTTGTATTGTTGAATGCCCAGTTCACATTGCTAAAAAACCTAATAAATCTCAAGCCATATTTGAAATTAAAGTGCAACTGTTGCAAATACTCATAGGCACTAAGCAGAAGGGAACATAAGTCTTTTGGAGAAATATATCTTTACCCTAGCACTACAGAAGTCTCAAATAATTTGGCAAGCAGATGGCAACATGAGTGAAAGATAATAAACAGGAGGAACTTATCTATAAAAATTTTAATTACTAGAGTTGTTATGATTCAGATTATAAATGAATGTTCTATCATGTTTAAAGAAAAAGACAACCTTGAAATTAGCTTCTGTAATACCATTTTATAATAAAACTAGATGAGAATAACCTAATGGAATTCATAAAACTGAAAACAGAGTAATAAGTATTCAAAATTCAGAGGATGAATTTATCAGCAAGATAAATAGTTAAAGAAGTTAGAAATTGGAAAGTAGGAAAAAATTCACAAAGTGAAACATAGATAGTCATAAAAAATATGAAAACAGGTTAAGAGACATGAAAGTCCAATATATATCTTAATTCCAGGTGAATAGAGAAGAGGGTAGCGATAACATCTGAAGAAATAGTGGCTAAGTTTTTTTCAGAATTGTTGAAGTACACCAGACTAAAGAGCCCCAAAATATCAATGGGGTAAATAGGAAAGTGGTATGAACAAGATGGCAGAATAGAAGGTTCCATTCCTCATTCCTCCACAGAACATCAATTTTGGCAACTACTTACAAGAATACCTCTTCACAGTGGAGCTTTAGAGTCTTGTTAAAAAAATCCAGCATCTTGGAGCAGCAAAAAATATATCAGGAATAGATACCTTGAAGAGATTAAGAAGAGCAGTTTCACATTTACCTACATCACACCTCCCCAGAAGTGGCACAGCTCAGTTACAAAGAGGGGCCCATTGGCCAGAGATTTCTCCCTCAGGGAAAAAAGAGATCAAAGTGAGTACTAGGTTAACCCAGGACACTGAGAGGATCAGCATGACAAAGTTTGGTATAGCTAGAAACAGGGAGAAGGGGAAAGAGTACATACCAACCAGCATGTGTTGCTCAGCCAGCTCAGATCTTGCTAACCTGTTAGTGGACTCCACCAAGGGATTCACTTATTGACTTCACAGAAAAATTCACCTCTGAACATCCGCAACCAGCTATGTTTGCCCCAACACCCTGCATGCATTTCATGGGCTACACCACATGTATTTCTATATTTGACCAGCTCTGAGCTCCCACAAACAAACAGGGATCTAAAAAAGCAGGAATAGATCTTAGCAGCCAGCTCAATTCTGCTGATTTTTGGAGAAGGCCCACAACCCTGACTCCTTTAGGGCATTGCCTTATGGAAAATCAGTGGCACACTTTTCAGCACCAGATCTGGCTTTGCAGGATCAAAAAAAAAAAAGACACACAATCTTAAGAGGGAATAGAGTACAACTTGTGTAACCACAGAAAAGTTCTGAGAGACCTCCAACAATTTCTAACCAGATTCCTTGGTTAAGGTCTTTATTATGGTCTGAATGTTTATGTCCCCTCTAAAAAATTATGTCAAAACTTAATCCTCAATGTAACAGTATTAAGAGGGGGCTCTCTAAAAGATGATTAATCATGAGAGCAGAGCCTTCATGAATGGGACTACAGCTCTTCCATAGGGAATCAAAGAAAGTAACACTTTTTTCTTTCCATCCCTTTTATTATATGAGGGTATAACATTTATCCCCTCTGGAGGATGTAGCAAAAAGATGTCACCTTGTAAGCAGAAACTGTGTCCTCACAAGACACCAAACTTGCTGGCATAAGTTCACAGAAGACTTTCCAAGCTCTAAAACTGAGA